GAAACGAGAAGCGAGAATCAATTTCCACCGATCTTTCTCTGCCACCGCCGCCAAGAAGAGCCGAGTTTCTCTGCCCCATCTCCAAATCCCTAATGTCCGACCCAACCATCATCTCCTCCGTGTCAGCCCGGCCGAACCCGCCATTGTACTCGGACCTCGAGTCCACTGTCCGCTCCCTCATGGGCTCCGCTGTAGAAAACCAGCATAGCCCTGAAATTTGTGCTTCGGAGAGGGGATTGCCAAATGTCGCCGCCGTCGTCATTTTCGCAAAACCCTAGGAATCTGTACTCCTCCTCGAGTTCGGAGGAATCCATAATCGCAATCATGACGCCGTTCGCGACTCGTCCGTCCTGCTTCTCGTACTCCTCATCCCCGTCAACCTCGTCGGAAATCGGCGGCTTTGTCGTCCAATGTCTCCTCCTCCGGTGAGGACGAGGGTTTCGTCGCTAAAATAAAAGGCTTTGACATTTACAGATCTGCCAGGCCAGAATTGTTCCTCTTCTCTGGAAGGAAAGCGATGGCGTATGTGGTTGCGGAATACAGATCTGCTCTTCTCAATTTTATTATATCGTTATCAATTAAAATAAATCATTAATTATAATAGTTGTTTATATATGGGTAGCTGTAAGGAAAGAGAAGAATATTATAGGGAGTGCAGAGGAAGAAATTTAAAGTAGGGACTGACAAGGAAAGTGTATTATGCATTGGGGATTTATTAGGAAATTTCCGTTTATCTTATCATAATTTTAAATTTTGAATTTACTCAAATTTAGAATTTAAATTTATCTTCTTATCACTTTAATTAATTAAAAAATACATTTTATAATAACATTACAATTCATAATCAATTGACGTTTAAATAACATAATTAATATTAGAATCCTTAAACAAATTTATCAGTGAAAAATATAAATTAAATATCATGCTATAATCTATATATATATAATTACTAGCCCACCAACATTTAATAAAACCTATTAAATTATACCTAGGTGGCACTTTCCCGCCCAAACACAATTTTGGCTAAAAAGGTAAGTTATTTTCATTTCTATCTAGGTTTCCCGCAAAAATGTATGTTTTTTATCGGACCTGTAACGTTTTTAGAGTTATTATTTTTAATTAATTACTAAAATACTAAATTTGATGTAGCCTCAAATTTGTTTCTCACCCAAAATCATTTTTGGCTCAAAAAGGTATGTAATTTATTCTAATTGCATCAATAACGTTTACTTCATATGAATAAATTTGACAGGGCAATTGATAGTGATATACTAATTTTTGTTAGTTTTCATTCTTTTTTCACTTCTCCGTAAAAAAATCTAAAAAGAAGAAGGAAAAAAATTTAATAATCTACCAAAAATCAACATTATTAAAACAAATCCATATAAATCCCATGTATCATGAACATAAATGAATTCCCAACAGTCCATTTTTCCTGCAAATGATGAAAAAAATATATTCATTGATCTATGACACATTGATAAAGTGAAGGAAAAACAATCACTAGAATCGATAACTTTGTTTAAAAAAAAAAATTATAGCAAAAGATCTATGACATTTCTGTTTTTAATTTTCTGAAATAAATTACAACTAAATAAGAGATCAGTAAAAACCATATACTGTGCTACTCATTAAAAAACAAAATTCATGTCAATTTTTTCGAATTTCAACAAAATTTTTTCGAATTCATGTCAATTTTTAAAAAACAAAATTCATGTCAATTAAACACACTGAGGGGTTCAATTCATGTCAATTTTTTCGAATTTCAACAAAATTTTGTATAACAAAAGGTACTACTCATTAATAGATTCGCATGTTAATCACATAAAAATGTCAAAAAAAAAAATAATAGTAAAAAAAATAAAACATGCCGATATAGATTTGCCTATTCGATCATCTTTCTATAAAACAAAAAGCAGTAAAGAAAATTTCAAGGAGAACGTTAGGCGTTATAAAAAAAAAAAATCCAAAATCTTACAAACTGAATATAAATATAAAAGAATGTCTTAAACCATTGAAAAACAAAAAAATAAAAATAAAAAATCTAAACAAAAATTTGTAATAATTGCAGATTTTCATAGATCTAAATTGTTATTGCCCGATTTGAACCGAAACACTATCACTCAATATTCGCTTTTGTAACATCGGGTCAATTTTACTTTTTAGATCTCTCTTTTCGCTCGAAAAAATATTTTTTTCATGTGTTTTTTCAATATCAGTTTGAAAAACGGAAAAGAATCGACAAAAAAATATTTTTTTCGGCCAGGTTTTTGGCAATATTCATTTACGAAATGCTGATGAGATGGTGAGAATTTGGTAGAGAGATATGTTCCGACATGAGAATGGCGAGAAATCCTCACGATAGGGTTTCTCAGATTTTATATTCAATAATAGGTATAATCAAACTCAGCTTCCACATGAAAGACCCATTCACTCGGTGATTTCAAATTTTTCACAGGCCCAAAATTTGGGTTTACAGTTGGGCACAGTTTTAATTTTTAAAAAAGCAGTCCAAACACTCTAATTTAATACGAATTTTTTTAATAATGGTCCAGTATTTCTGCTTTACAACAAATGTAAATAGGCTCAGATTTTTTTAATTTTCCAGCCCAAAAATCTTTAATCCAATATATAGTGAAAAAAAAATATTAAGAGTTCAGACACCGCTTGCAAGTTAGACGTTGGATATAACTCTTTTAGGATCTTCATATTCCTGAATTTCTCAATGAGATTAAGTGTTCGAGATTTCCAAATCATAAATTGCACTAGAAGGTCGACACTCCGGTGATGCTGCTCATAAACATTGATCACTCCATGAAGTTGTCCAACGGTATTGTTGATCAAAATTCGATCTATCGTCTATATTTTCTTTGACTTTCGTACAAATTTGAGTTATATGTCTTTGTTGTCCGAATTTTGCAGTCGACAGGTACACGATTGGTTATTACTAAGCTCGGAAGTCATGTCCTCGAATGTAGAATTTTAACCGGTGTCATAGTTGGCGATAAAGTTCTTATTTCTAGACTCACAATCATACCATATGATGTGAGGTACTTTTCACGTTTTAGCGCAGGCAGTTCTCGCTCATTGTTTCTATGTTAACAATTAGAGTTAAGAGCAGTCTCTATTCCGTGTCGGCCTATACTATTGAAGCTTTGTATTTAGTCATGTGTAATTGTTGTGGCATTTTATAGAGTTACGAGTCAGAAGGGTAGATAATGATTTGTGGTGATGAAAATTCTCATGATAGAAAACCACAAACGTTGAATATAATAAAGTGTTTAATAATATTTAAATTTCTTTCTTAAAACTTTTTTTTTCCAATTTATTATGTTATGATTTTTTTTATTGTTTATATTGTTTTATTTTTTTTCTTCTATCATATAGCTTTCCGTGCAAATGCACGGGATAAAACTAGTACTAATATAATAATGGTATGCATATAAACATGATATAACATAAATTCATTTAATTATGACACACGTGTACATTACCTCTATCGTCTTTCTACACCCCAAAAAACAAATATCTAAACAAATAAACTAATTGATTTACTATTCAAATTATTTGGACTTATTTTATCAATCATTGCACAATACAGACTAACTATTCATGGTATAATTGAACACATAAGGTAGAAGAGCGACTTTCCAATTTTTCATTTCGATTATAGATGATTCATCACACTATCTGATGTCGAGAAAGTCGACGAATCAATTATATTTGGTAAATACACACAATTTCAATTATTGGATCTTTTTACAATGTTTATTAAAAAAAATGTCCTCTCGTAATATTTAACTAATATTTCACTCATGCTTTGTTGTCATTGGGATGATGGTCTAGATTTATCCGATACAAACGAAGAATGTCAAAGGAGTACATACTTGCATGATAGCGTTTTCACTAATGGATCTAGAGTAAAATCACAACTTACATCCACAAATTATTATTTATGAATAATAATTGTATCTAATAATCATAATCATATATAATAAAAAGAAATAGTCAGCTTCATATATATGATGATAAATCTTTTTTGTTCAAATTTGCTATAAGTGGAAACATTATGCCTTACACTCCATGGGCGACCTATGTTGACCAACTGTTGATATTTGATAGACAACTTGCACACAACGGCAATCCATGGACTTTGATTACAATGTTAATTTATAATCCAATAGTGCTGGGAGGGATGGTTTTAGTTCTTCGTTTAGGTGGATTTGTTCTTTTAGTTTTCATTGTGTGTTTTATGGTGTTTTATCTTTTCAGGAGATGAATTCAGGCTAGGCAGTGTGCAGTGGCTCTGTTTTTCATTTTCCTTTATTTTTCGGTTGTGGAGTTCTCTAGGCCGCCTTGTGCGAGTCCTCCCAGTTTGCTATTCTTGTTAGTTTTTTAGGCATGTTCTTGGTTTGGGCCGTTGGCCCCTGTCCTATTACCCTGTTGGGGCCTTAGATTACCCCGTTGGGGCCTTGTAATTTGTTCCTTTTGCACTTTGGTGCTTTATATATAATCTCTATCGTTCCGGAAAAAAAAATCCAATAGTGCTTAATTTTTTATTTTATTTTATTTTTATTTTTTTATACAAACATCAAAAGTACAAGTAACCTCATCAAAAGATATAACCATGCTGATTGCTGGAGAAAATGTCCCATAAACTATAGAAATTTGCATGAGGTTTTATAATATTCAATAATAGATAAATAAAAAAAAAGTCAAATTTTTAGAACAGAGCTACTAATGGCCAACTTAGAAGGGCCCGCTTAAATTCACATAGTTCAGTTATTGTAAAAATTGAACTTCAAGAATTAGCTGATGAAGATGTTGTGAGTTCGGTTGACTCACTCTATGATACTGTGGAGGTCAATTTAAATACAAATATTTATGTTCTACCTCTATTTGATGAATTGCATTGCGCAAATTATACATTTATAACTAAACTTAACATATAAATACTGGAAACTGATATTTGGGTTTGTGCTAAGTGGATTCCATAATTGATGAGTGGTGGTACCACACATGAAAAAGATGCACGAGCAAAATGGAGGAGGTTGATGGATAGTTTAAGTGCAGCAGATGCTAATTCAGATGAACGTGATGAGCTTGCACGATTTACTGATTGGATAGCCAGCATCGAAGATGGAACTATCGAGGGGTCGAACGATGGATGTGCAGTGATAGACATAGCCGAGGACATTTTGCTTGAGCCATCTGATGATCTTATTGCTCAAATCGTTGAAAGCACATATCCAATGTTGAAGGAGGCACCTGACGATCCAAGTTATTTGAAGGATAGGGCTATATTAGCGCTAACGTTGGATGTGGTCGAGTCTATCAATGAGTACAAGACATCGTTGAATTTGTTGGATGGTCGTATGTACTTGAGCTCTAATAGTACGTGCAAATCGGAATGTAATAATGAATTTTTAGTCTGATCTTCATACACCCTACATTTTTGAATAGTATCAAATATTTAGGATTACCGAACCATGAGTTGTATTTGAAGATTTGAACTTCAGTCATGTTGTTGCGGTACAAGGATCATTCTATGGGTTTATGTAATGGGACACACTGGTTGTGACAAAGCTATCCACTCATGTTTTGAGTGTAAGATACTCAGAGAAGATCATGGTGGTGATAAGATGTTGATTCCCAGAATAAATTATAACTCCTCCTGATGTTAGAATTCCTTTCAAGTTCCAGCAGCGGTATTTTTCCATTATGGTTTCTTACGTGATGACTATAACCAAGAGCCAGAGACAATCCTTATCGCATGTTGGCTTATTTCTTAAGAAAACAGTATTCAGTCATGGTTAGTTATATGTTGTTAGCTCTCGTGTCACCAACCAAAATGGTTTAAAATTCTTAATACGTGTCGAAGATGACGTGCCAAAGAATCAATCCAATAATGTTGTATATAAGGAGGTCTTCAGTAGTATATGATTTTTTTCAGTTTAATTATATGTTTATATGTCTATTCTCATTATCATTGCATTATTCCACAACTTTCATAGATAATAAAATCCACATGCATCGCACGGGTGGTTACTAGTAGAAAGAAAAAAAAAACTGAGAAGCTCGCCCATTTTTATAAAAACCAAATCTAAAAGTTTATCGGTCAATCATTTCCCAAGTTCACATTCATTTCGATTGATAGATGTAATCATTAGCCCATACCATGATAACTAGTACAGAAGCGATACATCTAATGCTTACAATATCCTATAGATTTATTCGCCAGAGTCCTCACTATTACTCGGCGAGGACACAACCTCAGCTGGTGGCCGTGATGCAACATGTCCAAGTTCAGGAGGATAGCATATACGTGCACAATTAAGATCACAAAATGGTCCTGTATCGCCACAAAATTTAAGACAATCATAAAAGCATTTTTTCGGATCATAATTGTATGCATGTATGTTTGTTGAGGCAAACAACACCGCCAACATGAATACAACAACGTGTATATTCATATTCTTCATATTCACAAATATTGTATATACTTCTTCTCTCAATTATAAATTGTCATATTTATATACGTTGTGAATGTTGTGATGAGACATATTTATTATGCTTACATATAAAATAAGATCTTAGTAATCAATTTATTACAAGAATCAAATTTTAACCATTGAATCAAATTTTAATCAGTGTATGCTTATTTGTACTTTTTAGAATATAATTTATTTCTTTGTTGATTTTATTTTATTTACATTTCAATGGTCTTTTTAAATGTCCTATCTCAACTTGAAAACAGACAAATGTTTGTTTCATGTTGGTTTTTTGTTAATTTAATCTTTTATCTTAAATTCACAATATATTAATAAATTAATAAAAATTTAATAATGTTGAAATATTAATAACTAATATACAATATAACAAATTTAGACTATGTGAAGAATTATTATTAAAAAATTAAGATAAAAACTATAAATTATTTATGTAGAAGTGTTAAACTAAAAAAAAAAACATGTTTAGTAAATAATTTTTATCCGAATCTAATAAAAACCATGGAAGGAAGGAGCGTAAAGAAAAGTTTACTATA